GGGCCGAGCGTGACTCTGGCGAGGCGTCGAGAGCAGCAAGAGGCTCCCAGCGAGCCCAGCAGTGAGGTGAGGTGAGGAAAGGATCGCACCGTTCATTCTCCTTCCTTTTAATTGCTGCCAGCCCTGACTTCACGCTGACTCGGCGTGCCCGGAACGCTCGGGGGAATGGGACGCGCTGCTTTCTGCTGGTGCATCAGGTCCTGCCTCTGAGAGGCAGTGGGAGGAGAGCGTTGCCAAACCGGCCGGCGGCATTTCTTCCAACTGGGAAGAGGCTCTTGGGGGACTTATCTCAAAAAGGGGCTGTTTTGCTCTAGAAGTATGAAGAACCTCCCTAACTGGAATGTGTTTTCTCCTAGTATGGTCTCCAGAAGTGCCTACACTATTCCACAGAAGGCCTCAATAGCACTTACAGACAGTAGAAGCTTTATCTTGTGTGATTATTGTAAATTTATACATCTTCTTGTAATGTTTGCTTTTCCTCTAACAGTGCAACACAGCCTGGAATCTGCTCTAACCTCCAGTCCTAGTTTGCAGTGCTGTTGCCTGACTCCACCGTTTCATTTTCTGTCTCTGCAGATGATTGTTCCTACTTAGGAGTAGTTATTGCTCTTTATGACTTTATATTGACTTTTCTTTTTCCTTCAGACTATTCCCCCCAGTTCTTTACATAATTTTGATGTTCCTCTTTAATGAGCTTATTGACATCCCAGCGTCATCTACGAATGCCGTAAGCATATTGGTGAAAACATAGAAGTGTGTGTCTGCCACACCTTTGGAGACAGACCCCGGTGAACACTGCCTCGCTGGAGGCATTCCTTTGTTTAATTTCAATTAGAGTTGTTATCCTGCTGTTCGTCAGCTATGCAAATAGCTTTGCCTTCATTATTGCTGATCAGAGGTTGACCCGAGATTGCAAAATGCTGTTCCTTGCAATGTTTCCCGTCACTTTTGCTGTCTACTAAATGCACAGAGGCAGAGTGAGCCTCCACGTCATATGCTTGTGTATAGGTTGTTCAAAGTGGCATAAAGTGGAGCCCATTTTCACTTTCAGCAATTCCTTGAAACTCCTTCAGTGCCTTGGCCAGTCAACATCGTGCTGGTTCCTGCCCCCAAAAGCTTCAACTTTGTTTTCTGGGAGGCACAAAGAAAAGTCAGCAAGTTTCTCTGCCTTGCTTATTGCTTTACCCCCTGTTAGTCATAGAGTGTGCTGCTTTTGTTTTTCTAGGGATGATACTCCGCACATCCCCAATGAGAAGCTTGGAGAAGAGAAGGTTCTACAAATAATACAAAATCTGACTTCTCTGATAAGAGAGGCATTTCCAGGTAGGATTTGAGGGGATGAGAAGGGGAGAAGAACATAGTCTCATGGGAAGAGCTTACCAGGGTGGAGAAATGACAGAATTGGGAAGGGAGAAGGCACAGAAGGGCTGTGGTCATTGGGACTTGTTTTCTTTTTCCCAGTTGCTATATGGCATGAGGTGTGTCTGAGTTGAGGTGTCTGATGTGCACTCATTGCTTCAGGTTAACTCACCGGGAAGAGAAGAAAATAAACATTTCTGTGTTAGTCATTAAGCCATCAAATGCTGCAAGATTTCCTTGTGCTTAATCCACGTCAGCGGGGGTGGGAGGGGATAGAGCATTATTGATGGTGAAAGCTCGTTGATTCATGCGGAAAGCCATGGCTCTGGGATGGCTTGTCCCAAGAAGGGATGGTCTTTGCAGTGTTGTACCCCCAGTGAATGCAGCCACATGGCTACGGTGGGGATGAGTGGCTTCTGCAAAGCTCTCAAGCCATGCTGTCTTTGCAAGTCTGTGAGTGCCTCGGGGAGCTGTGGTGCTGAGGCACTCTGAAGCAAGCATGGATGCCCCTGTGCCTCCTTTTCTCTGTCTCCAGATACTAAAGTCTACGCAGCAATGGGCAATCATGACTTCCACCCCAAGAGTCAGCTTCCAGGGAAGGCGCACAGGATGTACAACGAAACAGCTGAACTGTGGCGTCCCTGGCTGAACGATTCTTCCGCTGCTCTTTTCAGAGCAGGTACAGCACCACTGCCTCATGTTGGCAGCACTCTGAGGAGACCAGGGTGCTTAGGAGAACACCACGAATGGTATTCCCTGTTGCTCTGAGGACAGAAGCAGCACTTATAGAGTATTTGCAGAGGAAGGGTCCAATCAATTGAATGCTTATTTCTGGCACTGAGCTCTCCTGCTTGCGAGGAAATAAATTTCTTTATGCTTTAGTCTCTCCTGCTTTCCTCAAGTTGCTGGAGAGGATGCAAGTAGTGAGCTTCAGTGGAAGAAAAAAGATTTCAGAAAGCTGCTGGTGCAGGCAGCAGTGTGGCTCTCTAGAGCTGCCCCGCTCCTGGCGCTGCACTGTCCCCATGCAGGGGCTTCCCTCACTGTGAGAGGCACAAGCACAACAAGGGGCACACGGGGGACGAGTGGCTCTGAATCCCCATCCTGGAGCGGGCAGAGTGCTGCTGGTGCCTTGTCCAGATGGTGACTGTGCTGTGGCTATTGCCAAGGAGAGCTGAGAGGGATGGAAACAAAGGGATCTGGGCTCACAGCAACCAGTGGGACCAGGCCTCCAGCTCGTTCGCTGTCGGTTGCATTTTTCAGGAGCTTTCTACAGTGAGAAGCTGCCCAGCCCAGGGACAAGGGGGCGAATGGTTGTCCTCAATACCAATCTGTACTATGACCAGAACAGAGAGACGGCCGATGAGGAAGATCCCGGAGGCCAGTTCCAGTGGCTGGAAGAAACACTGACCAATGCCTCTGGAGCAAATGAAATGGTATTAAAAGAAATTAATAAAAAAAAAACTTTGTAGAGGGCTTCTCCCAGCCTGGAAGCTCTTCTCGCTCCTGCTCTCCCCTCTGCAGTCGCAGCAAGCCAGTGCTCTGTGGGAAGCGTGGGCTTTGCTTTCAGTGCAGCTCTTGCTTTTGTAGGTCTACATTGTGGGGCATGTCCCTCCTGGCGTCTTTGAGAAGAAACGAGGCAAGGCCTGGTTCCGGAGTCACTTTAATGAGCGATACTTGAAAATCGTGCAGAAGCACCACCAAGTGATTGCGGGGCAGTTTTTTGGGCACCAGCACACGGATGCCTTTCGGATGTTTTACAGTGATACAGGTACCGGTTCTGGCCACCCAAGCACTTGCAGGATAGCTCTGCCAAGTCCCAGAAAATCACTGTCCATGAGGGTTTTCAGTGGCTGTTAGCTGAATGCAGCTGAGAAGCCAGAAAAGGCTTGTGAAATGCTTTGGTCAACAAGAGAGGAGTGGTTCTGATCTCCACCCCTAACCTGTACCTCCAGCCCTCCTTCCTGTTTACTCCTGAATATTGTCATTTCCCCTCAGTGCCCTGCAATGTCTTCTGGGCTCCCTGTTAGTGGGGTTTGGACATCAGCTCAGGCAAGGGAGCAGTTACAAATCTGCACTGGGGAAGTGCTCTGGGTCTCCTGTGCTGAGTGTGGTTCTCTTGCACATCCTCACTGCAAGAGTGTTCGGCAGCAGCGGGGGCCCGTTTGCAGCTGCAGCAGACCCACGTTCAGTCCCTGATGCTGTTCAATGTGCCCATCTTCGTGTGTGCACTGTTGTAACTGGGGCTGGTGACCAAGCTGCTGGTTGCAGTGTGATGGGTTCCTGGGGTGCTCTCTGCCGTGTGGACAGGGTGTGGTACAAGCCAAGGTCTCCTGCTCACGCGTTGTTTTGCCGTTCTGTTCAGGTTCTCCCATCAGTGTCATGTTCCTGGCCCCTGGAGTGACTCCCTGGAAAACAACACTAGCTGGAGTGGACAACGGAGCCAACAACCCTGGGATTCGGGTGATCGACTATGATCCGGACACCCTCCAAGTGCTGGTAGGGGATCCCCCTGTGCTGCATGCGGTTTAACAGGCAGGGCTACAGGAGCCAAGCAGCTGTGCAGCAGAGAACCTCAACCAATGTATTCCAGCCTCGTGTCTAGCCCAAGGATTTAGTAAGAGTGTCAGTGAGCAAAGGCAGGGCGGCCGCAGCCAGCTGGCCCAGGCCTTCTGCTGGGATGAGTTCCCAGGGAAGTGCAGGACAGGTTTTGTCGTGTTCTTCGTGTCTTCAGCTAGTTTCCTTTACTACCCAGGAAATGTGGCTTGCAGAACTTCTCCTTGAGGACTAAAAGACTTGTCAAAGTCACTCCAAAAACTTTTAACCATCTAGAAAATTATTTGGGTCCCCCTGCTTGTTAAACTGATTACTTTGTAATGGATCTAAACTTAGGTGAATTTTAGGGACAGCTTCTGTTTCCTCTGTCTGTTATTTGAAGGGAGGCAGAGGATGGAGCATTTGTGCCTTTCCTTGCAATGGATAAAGCAGCTCTGTAGATGCTCTGTTTACATTTTTGTAGCATGAGAAGTGGATGTTAAAATACACTGTGGAAGGCTAGGGAGCCAGTGAAGCAGAGAAAAAAAGGGCAAGAGATTGACAACAGAAATTGTGAAGAACTTTAGTTTGCTCACAGCTGAGAAAATAACTCCCTAAGTAACGCTCCTCCGACGCTTGCTTCTGCCAGCAGACAGCGTTGATAGTAAATAACAGAGTGAGGCTCAAATTTCGTGATGTCTGAGATAAAAGTGAAGCAGAGAAAGGCCATCTCTTCATCTCTTATAAATGGGATGCTTTTGTGGTGAGCCCTGGAAGCTCTCACCCGAGGTGTCTGTCCCGGGGTTCCCATCTCGGTAGAAGGTGCCCGTTGGGAGGCAGCTCCCCCCTCGGTGCTGCTGCTGGGAGAAGGGGCTGACCGCGTCCCGGCCAAACATTTCCCTCAAGAGCTGATCCTTTCCCGATTTGTCCTCATGCTGTTTTTCTCTCCCTGCAGGATGTGGTGACTTACTACTTGAACCTAACTCATGCCAACACGGGAGCGGAAGAGTTCCCGGCGTGGGAGGAGGAGTACAGGCTGACAGAAGCCTTCCAGGTCCCTAATGGCTCTGTGAGCTCCATGCAGACGGTGCTGGAGAGGATCTCAAAGGATCCACGCTACCTGCAGCAGTACTACGAGTTTAACTCTGTCAAATACGACCTCAGCCCGTGCGAGGGGGCGTGCCGTGTTGATCAAGTTTGTGCCATCAGGGAAGTTGATTTTTCGAGGTACAATGAGTGTGTTAAAACCAGCAGCTCTGCCTCTGCTGTCATCAGTGTTTGGCTTTTGTCATTCTGCTTGCTCTTAGGGCTTCTCAGTCCACAGCAACCGCTGCAATGACAGAGCAAGAGAAAATGAAGAGAGCGTGAGTCCACAATGCACGTGAATCAACAGTTGTGAATGCTTTTGATACTGAGAACTTTGTAATCAAGACAAAATCAGTGGCTTTTACTGAAAGCTCTATGATGTTGATTTAAATTCTTGTAGAAAAGCTTGAGGTGTCGGGAAAGGGCAGTGATTGCTGCACAGTCTGTTTGTCTCCCTTCCGCTGCGGTTTCTGAGGGAGGATCACAAATGGGATGAAGACCCGGCCTCCCCGCAGTTGTTAACTTCCTGGGGCTGAGAGCTGGGATCTGCCGCCTCTGAGAAGCCCAGGGCCAGCTCTGTTCCTCATCCTCACACCCGCTTCTCTTCCAGACAGCAGTGGGCGGGAAGGGCTGGGTTTGGTGGCCTGGGACAGCTGCAGCCTTGCCCTGGGCTCTGAGCAAAGCCGGGGGGACTGATCCTTCCTGGGGCAGTCCACGAGCTGCTGCACCCTGGGGCTGTGACTTTGCCGTGTCAGCCCCAGGGGAGGCTCCAGCGGAGGCAGACGGTGCCTGTGCCGCCACCCTGGGAGTTGGCCGCAGCGCGGGGGTTGGGGGCACTGGATGATTAAAAAATTTATGGAAAAAAATAGTGCCGGTGAGCACTGCTATGGCTCAAGGCTCTGGTTTTGCTCGGGGAGGGGGAACAAAAACTCTTGTGTGGATCGTGTGGGGGGCAGGGAGCCCCTTGGCTGCAGAGGGGA